ATATATAGATTTGACAATTGAATATTTTTCTTCAGACGCAAAATTTAAATTTTGTTCTTATATTGGCTTATTACTAAAAAACAATAGTATTAAATTTCAGTTAAAAAGAAGAGACATTACATTAAATTATAAACATTAAAAATATGAATACTGTATAAAACCACAACATGATGTTAAGTTTTCGATATGAAATGGCCCCCATGATATTTTAGGAATTGACTAGACCGAGGTATAAGTTACTTCATTGGTAGAGTAACCCATCGATGAGATCCTAATTTGATGGCATTAATGGGTGGTGGTGCCTGCTTGAAGGGAGTGGATCATGTGAATACGATCCTGGGTACTATAGCTTCCTTTGGGCTTGCTTCTTTCTTTGCCTATTGCTGGCTGCCATGATATGAGTAGCTCTCTCCATCATGTCCTTCCATTACGATGTTTCTGCCTCATCACAAGCCTAAAAGCAATGGAACCAACTGCACTTGCCCTACAACTGTGAAACCAGGAGCCAAAATGAGTCTCTCCAAGTTGTTCTTCTCAGGCATTTTTGTTATACAGTGGTGCCAATACAGCATTTATGAATTCTGCCCTGTGTACTGGTGCTCCCATCTCCTTCCCCCATCTTTCAAACCACTGTGTCTATTCCTCAGCCAATACAGTGTACGTAAGAAAAAGTATTCTGAAAATGATCCTGAGATGATGACAGTTGGTTCCAATTTCCTAGATTCCAAATGCTTTTGCTTAGTTCTACTTTATAGTTTTATACAACTGGAAAGCAAGTTTGTGTTGTTTATTACAACTGGATAACAGATTTTGTTGTTTATTGCATACATGGGTTATCATTTTGTCTCCAATCACAAATAAGCAAGGTGTAGCTAGCTGACAATTGAGAGGTCTTCCAATTTCAGGAAAAAGTGGGGCAGGTTGCCACTTAGCAATTCAAGTTGGAACAATAAATGGACACTACAGAGGACTTGAAGAAAAGACAGATGAAGGATAACAATACATTCCTGTGTAGCAGATAAAACCTAAAATCTTTCTTTAATACTAGAAGAATGAGATTTGATTTGAACAAGTACCATCAATTATAGAATATTTTCCAAATGAGAAATTTATCTGCTTCTTAGTGACAAGAGCAATTTATTAATCCAAAATATATGGATGGAGCAGGAATGACCAAGATCCCTTCACCGAACAGTATTGAAAACCCCTCAATGAGTCCATAGGGCATGGCAGGACGCAGTGAAATATCTGAGAAGTGCAGCTGCCTTGGGAAGGGAAAATAAATTCTTTTCTTTTGTAGTTATCTAGCTTTAAGTCTACTCTGTCTTTTTGAGTAGACTTTTGAGAAAGGGCAGAAATGGTTACTGTTTAGAGAAATGAGAAGATTCACTGCTCATACTTGTATGAGCATTAAAGAGAATATTTAGATGGTGCTTCAAATTTCACTATTACAAAAAGGGCTTATCTTGTGCCACGATTTCCCTACCGTTCTATTTTACTGCAGACGTTGAGCAGCAAAATTCCTTGAGATCTCAAAGTGCTTCTCAAATTTACAAGATGTAAACTTTGGTAATCTGTGAGAAGAAAGGGGAAAATTTCACAGGAAAGATACTTTTCTATGATCTAAGTGGAGGTTTCCCTTCAGTTCTTTAATCTACTAAAGATTTAGTAGAAGAACTGAACTGAATGGAAGAGTACAGGACATGTGAATTTGAAATTAGAACAGCTAAAGCAAATAAACATTATCAGTGTTTGGGATATAGCTGAGTAACATAGTGTGTGCCTGTTAAGCTCAAGATACTCCATTCCATTCCTGGTACCGAAAACAAATAAACATGTCAGAAGTGCCCTTTATTGTGACAGTCCCAAATAATTGTTTAAAAATTTTATTTAAAGAAAGACTAAACAAAACAGAAAACAGGTAGAAATAACACATACTTTCAAAGGAAAAAAATAAACAGTAAGAAATCACTAGTTGATGATTACTGGTTGTCCTCTTACAAATAGTTGTTCAAGTTACTAAAGTGAAGCATATAAAGTGGGGATTCAAACAGTGAGACTGCAAGCAGTTCTGTTCAACTATCCAACAAAAACTTAGAAATACGGTTATCAATCCTATACACTTAAACATACATGCAGTTACCCATATCTTCAATTAGGTTGACATTGAACAAATCCAAGCAGTCTAATATCACTCTGAACAAAGAATAATACTATTGCCGGGTTTCACATTATGACACTCTAGGATCAGCACTGGGTACTTTAGTGTCTCTTTTTTTCCAAGTATCTGTTCATTTCATCATGTGTCATAAGATCAGTTTTTATAAACTGTTTATAGACTCTACACATGCATGAGTCTTAACATGTATTTCTATCCTTTCTATATTAGAGGGAGAAACAAAACAAAGCAAGACAAAACAAAACATATTCCTATAAACACATGAAATGAAAAAGACATATAAGACCATTGTACAAGGAGTTCTACCATAGTTCCTGTGTTGTCTCTTGCTATCTTCAATAGAATTGGCTATATCATCAGACATAGTATAATTGAATATTTCAGTACATAACAGTACTGATATAAAAAAACAGTATTAATAAAAACACAACTTTGTATATAGTATAAACTTCAAAATCAGGCAGTTATCAAACCAGAATGTGTATCGTAGAGTCTTATCATGTTCAGTGTGCTTGCCTATACTCTACTGGCTACTATCAATCATATCAGTTTTGAATAAAATCTGTCAATACCAAACATCAATCAAACAAACCAGATTTAACTAAGATCAGTCATGATAAAACAGTATAAGTCATAGAGAGCTCCAGATTAAGATAATATGAAATTAAAGATGGTTACTATGCTATATCCTGATGTTTTTGGGATAGCTGTCTGTGCCCTCAAATCTAATGCAAGTAGACAAAGTGGGACAGTTCCAAGTCTTCAAGCATCTACATGTTTAATATCTTTTTAAAGTTCACTTTAGTCAGCTCCTTAATTTTTCCCCTTAACTGCATATCTCAATTCTGCAGAACATAAGTTTTAGCTGTACCAGCCCTGACTTGAGGAAGCAAAGTAACTCAATCATCTAGGTCTGGATTTTCTGTGGAAAGGGACTCTGAGTGGATTATGAATTGGAATTATAATGCAAAGAGCTGTAAGTGAGGAAACCAGGGAAAGACAAACAGACCTCAAGAAAAGAAATCTGTAAGAGGCAGAAAGGCTACCTGTCCGTTGGCTCAGGAAACTTGGCTCCTGTCCTCTCAAAGAGAAAGAGAAAGAACTTAGTGAACATCTGTGTTACTTTCATTCTTTAAGTTTTTTTGTGACATTTTACAAGACTTATTCAGGGTTATTTTCATGGTTACAAAGGGCTAATCTTAAAAGGGCTAGTCTTTCAGGTCTTGCCATCCTAGGTAGGCATTTGGAAGAATTTATGTTTTGAGTATTTGTATATGTGCATGGTAAGCATATGAGACAAGTTTTGGTGCATACATCCAGTAATCACTGGATGGAAGGGAGTGAGGGAACTGCGTGAAGGGAGATTTGGAGATGGCTTGTATTATGGGCCTGAGTATATTTGGGTATACTTGTTCAAGTGTGTATTTATGAATGAACATATGTACATGGATTCTCAGCTATGTATCTCTGTCTTTCTAGCACAATTAACATATCATTTGGTTCATTTACTTCAGAAGTTCTGAAAATAAATGAGGGACAGATTTAAATACAATAAGTTGGACGTATCCTACTTCAGTTCTCAAATACAAAATATTCAGCTGATTTTGTTCAGTGAGATGGATTTCTGTAAGCTGAGCTTTTTATAAAGATTGATTTTGATATAATTTTTTTATAATTTTGCTTTTATTACTAAATACAGTACAAGCAGATAAGTGATTACCTTCATCATTGGGCACTGGCACATGTACCACATTTTAATACTTTTTACTCATGTGAACATTTTATGTTTTTTACCCTTACCATATTGTGAAAGCTGCAAGATTCTTCTCCCAGGTAAAGTAACATATTCACAGGTTCTGGTGAATATTTAAAGGCTCCACCCTTACATATTTTTATATCTCCCTTTATTTAAAAATTACTGAGAACACAATAAGTTCACATTTAAGTACTTTAATCTAATGTAATTTTAACTTAAATTTAATAAAGTAATCAATAATATTTGAGAAAGCCTAAACGATTACTTATTTCTTAGAACGTGATCCTCACTGAGCTACTCCTTCTGAACCAGACTGCAATGGAGAAGCACATGATCTGCTTTGAGTTTCAGCTGTCTCTTGATGATCATATGAAAGTGAGCAAGTGTCCAAACCTTTTTGTACCTTAGTTTCCAATCTACAATGGGAGTATCAATAAGACCTGTCTCTTGGGGTACTTGCAAAAAATGCATGGCTTGTTACAAACATATGCCAAGGACATGGAAGAGTCTGGCATGGATGTAGTGCTCAAACAGTTATTTATAAAAATAATTGCACTCATTTCCTGTTGCTCCTTTGACAAATTGTTACAGACTGAGATGCTTAAAATATGACTATTATCTTACAGATTTTTAGGATTTTGATACAGAGTTCACTAAGCTAAAATTATGGTATCCTAGGGGCCTGGGGATTTAGCTCAGCGGCATAAGCACCTGCCTTGCAAGCAGACAGTTGTGAGTTCGATCCACAGAACCGATAAAAAGGAAAAAGTAAAAAAAAAAAAAAATGATATCCTCAAGCTGTGTTGCTTTCTACAATCTCTGGGGGGAAAGACCTGTTTCTTGCATTACTTGATTTGTTGCCAAAACTCAGTTCTACTGTTTGAAATATAGGTCTCTGTGTTCTTCTTGACTGTAAGCTAAAGGCTGTTGCTTCCAGCCTCTAAGAGCTGCTGAATTCCTTGGCTCTTAGCCCATCTAGCCCATGATCAAAGTCAACAAAGGAAGCCAAATCCTTATCACATGGCATTCTTGGGATCCTACTTTCATAGCCACATATTCCAGCCCTGAAAGGTCTTCATTTTTAAGACTTGATGATTAGGTTGGTCTTATCTAGCTAACTGTCCCTTCTCAGAATCTTTATTCTGAGCTGCAAGATTCTTCTCCCACGTAAAGTAACATATCCACAGGTTCTGGTGAGTATTCAATGGACATTTTTTGGAGGGGGTTCATTATTATTTTTGCCACAATTGTGATAGCTTTGCTATTCAGGACAAGATTTGAGTCAGAAATCATTTCATTAGTCAAATATTCTGTGGAGTGAATTTTCAATGTCTGTGTATATTTCAAAATGGAAAAGAAGTGACCAATAATTAAGATCTTTTCTGAGAGAAATATTTATGAAATGTTCCCTTCAAATATTATTTGTATGATAACAGACATGAAAGTCTTTTCTAAAATTTGGGTATAAAAGAGCTCATGTTTGCACGTAAGACTGATAATAATGCAAATTCAATCTGATACAATTTACTACACATTATATGTGCATGTGTATTGTGGTTACCGAAAAGGGAAGGATGCTGTTTCCTAATTGTATTTGAATATAGGAATTTTATTTTTATTTATTGATTTAAAAATTCTGACTGGACTTTGGCAAATGATGGTCTAGGCACATGGTGTGTTTGTAATGCACTTGACCATCAGAGAGCAGTTTCTCCTAGGCTGTCTTTATGAGGCAAAGAAGTCCCTATTTTGATCATATTTCAGTGCTGTCTTATATTTAAGATATTTTTAAAACTTACTTTCCTTTCAAAAATAAACATGTGACTGTATATTTAGAAGCAGCCTTCTCCCATAGGTTAAATTATAGTAACTGTTCATAGTTGGTGTCTTATGTGAATTTGTGTCAGACAAAGTGCAAAGGACTTTGCGAGTATTTTTATTAAATCCCAATGATAATACTTATGAATCTATAATTATGAATAACATGAGACTTAACAAAGTCATTATAGTATATATTGAGTTTAGTAATCAAATATAGAGTGTTTCATTTCACAATTTGTCTTCTTATTTCCTGGTCTGTATTATTACTTTAAAAATTATAAATTTGAGGCATAGTGTTGCAATATATTTAAAGGGAGTATCTTATTTGGAAATGAACAATAGAAACTAAGTGTACAGTCTAAGAGTATAGTACACATGTCTGCACGTGCACTAGGTATGGTAGTCGTTATGTCTCTGCACATACCTATTTCCAACAGAAAATGTGTCATTCCCAAGGCAAGCAGTCTTGTTAGTCTAACTCTTTCTCTCTACACTCTGACCCCACATAAATAAATAGAAGGAAAAAGTCACCTTGGGGCAAATAGACTATATTTTGAGATTCTCAATGAGCGATTTGGGAACTGAGTCACACAAAATTAACCTGATGCAGGATCTAGTGCTAGGGTCCAGACAGGGTTAAAGTGGTACTTCCTAGAAATAGTACTATAAATAAATTTCTCTCAGACTCTAAAGAAATGGAAAGGAAAAACACAAAGTTTCTTTTCATCATCTGGGGAATTTAGAGTCCTAGAAATTTGGAGTAAGAATGTATTGTCCTTGTGAAAGAATAAATGCCAAATGAGTGGATAATCTGGCTTGTTGGTTAAAACTGCCCTGAATTTGAAAAGGATGATTCATTGAGGTGTCACCTGATTAAAAATATTTTCTAAAGTCTGCAAATTTCTTCAGCTTTGATTATAAGCTTGCTAAGCCACCTTCTGATCCAAATTTGCTTTTCTATGGAGGCTTCTCTAATAGGCAATGAAGGTTCATTCTGCCTTATAGTAACATTCTTCATACTGAATTAATAAATTGTCATTGTAACATATAAATCAGTCTCTCCTCAGCTGGTTCAGGGAGAATTAAAAGACTTGACCCCTCCACATGAACTGATGGCTAAAGACCCTGAACTCCCTGAGGTAAATAACCAGCTGACATCCAGACAAGTACATGTGCATTAGGTAACTAATCAGTTTCTCTCTTAGTATTTGGTAGATGCTTCCTGCATTCCAGCCACTGTCTGGACAACAGATGTTTTGCAGTAAGAAAAGAGGAAGTGCTCCTTGCCTTGAGAGAAGGTACAGTTTTTGGAGAAAAGACACAGTAATTTGAAATAGATAAGTAGATGCATAAATAAATAGATAAGAATCAGGGGGTATTGGTGTTATCAAGGAAACTAAAAAGAAACTATATAATAGAGACTGTCTGGTAATTTTTTGAGAAGCAGAATAGAGAAGTAGTTCAAAAAATAAGTGTGAGGTCAAATCTATTTCCATTACTTACAAGTGTCTGACTGTGGGCAGGTTTCTTAGCCTCTCTGCCCTTTACCTTTTTCATCTATAGAGTGAAGTTTATAAGACCAGAATCTACTTTTAGATTTACTGATAATATTTAGAGAGTCTGTGCATGCAATTCATTTAGAATGGTGATAGGCCCGTGTTAAATATTGTAAAAATGTTGGTTGCCATTATTGTTTCTAGATTTACTTAAGACATTTTCTTTGCTTGAATGAGCAGAAAGCCAACCATGTGAATAAGACAGAAAATTCCAAGCAGAGGGAAATGATGGAAGAGGGAAGGTCAAAGATGAACTTGCTCTTGTGAAGGACTAGAAGGAGGCCTGACTTGGTGTGGCTGGAGTCCAGTAGAGAGCAGAGGATGGTCAGGAGACAAGTTATGCAGCAAGCAGGACTGGGATTTAAAGCACTTTTGACTAATGGGAGGTGTTTTTTTTTTTTTTTAAAGAATTTTTTAAAAAAGGTTATTTAAAGAGAAAAAAGCAATACAGATAAAATAGTAGAAATAGTACAGAATTTCAAAAGAAAGTAAGAAATCACTAGCTCATAGATTACATATTGTCATTTTAGTGTTCAAGTTACAAAATTAAAGCATACAAAGTGGACATTCAAGCAGTGAGACTGCAAACATTTCTGTTTAATGATCCAACATAAACTCAGTAATATGGTTATCTATCTTATACACTTAAACATACATGCAGTTATATCCTTTAGAGAACTTTCTTTTCCCCTCTTTTTTACAATAGCAATTACACATTTTGGCTTTATTTACTCCTGCATTTCTTATTACTTTTTACACTAGAGATACAATGTGATATTTATAAATATAATTTTTATTTATTTCACTTATTAGAGTAGTCTCATGTTGCCTCCATTTACCTATGAAGGCCTCAAGATCATCTGTTTATAGCTGAGTAATATTCCATTGTATAAAAATACTACACCTTTTTAAAAAAAAATTATTTAAAGAAAGTCTAAGCAAAAAAGAAAATAGGAAGAAATAATACATACGTTCAGAGAAAAAAATAAACAGTAAGAAATCACAATGTGTTTTATGTTGATGTTTATATATTGTCGTTTTACTAATAGTTGTTCAAGGTACAAGAGTGGAATATGTAAAGTGGAAATTTAAACAGTGAGACTGCAAACAGTTCTGTTCAACTGTCCAACAAAAACTTAGTAACATGGCTGTCAATCCTATACACTTAAACATACATGAAGTTATCCATATCTTCATTTATGTTTAGATTAAACAAATTAAAGCAGGTTAAAATCATTGTGAACAAAGAATAATAATATTGCTTGATTTCACATCATGACCGTCTTTGATCAGCACTGGGTACTGTAGTGCCTTTTTTAAAATTTAATTTAAAGAAAGACTAAACAAAACAGAAAATGGGTAGAAATAATACATAATTTCAAAGAAAAAAAACAGTAAGAAATCACTAGTTGATGATTACAGATTGTCTTCTTACAAAAAGTTATTCAGGATACTAAAGTGGAACATATAAAATGGGGATTCAAACAGCGAGACTTCAAACAGTTCTGTTCAACTATCCAACAAAAACTTAGAAACATGGTTATCAATCCTATACACTTAAACATACATGCAGTTATCCATATCTTCAATTAGGTTGACATTGAATAAACCCAAGAAGGCTAATATCTGAACAAGGAACAATACTATTGCTGGGTTTCATATTATGACACTCCAGGATTAGCATTGTGTATTTTAGTGTCTCTTTTTCTTCAAAGTGTCTGTTCATTTCATCATGTGTCATAAGATCTGTTCTCATAAACTGTTTATAGATTCTACACATGCATGAGTCTTAACATGTATTTCTATCCTTTCTATATTAGAGGGAAAAACAAAACAAAGCATGGCAAAACAAAACACATTCCTATAAACACATGAAATGAAATAAACATATAAGACTATTGTACAAAGAGTTCTACCATAGTTCCTGTGTTGTCTTTTGTTATCTCCAACAGAACTGGCTATATCATCAGACATAGTATAATTGAATATATCAGTACATAATGGTATTAATAAAAACACAATTTTGTATATAGCATATAACTTCAAAAACTGCCAGTTATCAAACCAAAATGTGTATCATAGAGTCTTGTCATCTTCAGTGTAGTTGCCTGTACTCTCAGACTTGATACTATCACTCATATCAGTTTTGAATAATATCTTATCTGCCTCAATTTTGTTATGCTCTTGTTTCCATCAGTTGTTTGCTTATCTTCTTCATTCTGTTTTCTGTTCCATTCATTGAGGCCTCTCTGCCACTGTTCCTGGCATCCTAGTACTTTTCTCTCTCTCTAGAATGCCCTGCAGTATTCTCTGTAGAGTTGGATTGGTGGTTGTGAATTTCCCAAGTTCTTCTTGGTCTTGGAAGCATCTTGTTTCTCCATTAATTTCTAGAGACAGTTTAGCAGGGTATGTCAATCTGGGATGGAGGTTATTTTCTTTTAGTGCTTGGAATATTTCACTCCAGACTCTTCTTGACTTGATGGTTTTTGTCGAGAAGTCTGCCATTATTCTGATGGGCATTCCTCTATAGGTTATCTGTTTCTGGTCTCTAACAGCTTTTAATACTTTGTTCTTATATTGAATTTCTGGGATCTTGATTATTATATGCCTGGATATAGCTCTGTTTTGTTTGTAGGTGACTGGAGTTCTGTATGCCTCATATATCAGAATATTATTTCCTTTTCCTACATTTGGGAAGTTTTCCTTAATTATGTCTGTGAATAACCTTTGTAGTTCCTTTGTTTGTAACCCAAATCTTCATTCACATTCTTTATTCTCAAGTTATAGACACTTTTGTCATCTTCTAGCCTTTGTATTGTTACTACTTGTTTCCTTGTTATTTTTTAAAAAAATTTCCCTTTAATACTCCCACATTGCAAAGTCATCCTCCAGTTTGGATAATCTATCATTAGTTTCTTTCAAGCTGATTTGCCATCTTTCCATAGAGTTTTTAATTTCCTGGTGATCTCTTTGAATCTGCTTCATGTATTCTATATTTTTTTATATTCTTCTTCAAATGGTTCTCTCCTTTGTTTGAGTTCCTCCCTTTTTCCATCTGTGTCTGCTTGACAGGTGCTTAGTATCTCTTTAATTAATTTTCTTATATCTTGCTTTATTTGGTTAAATATTTCACTTTTGAACTCGTCTACTCAAATATATCTCTTTATGTCCATTGGCACTGTGTCTGATATTGCATGTTTGCTGTTCTCGTTCTCCTTTGTATTTACCTGTCTTGGGTCAGTGTTCTCAGGGTTGGGACCTGGGGACTTTTTGTTGTTGCTTCCTCTTCCCATCTTTTTTGCTTCTTCCAGGAGTCCCCAGTTTCTTTCTTTGTTGGTTACAATTCTTCTGAAGAGTGCTGGCTAGATGACCCTTCCCACTGCAGTATGTTAGTGAGTTGCAGACAGGGACAGCTTATGCTGGCCCCTCCCTTCCGGATCAGTCAAGCATTGTGTCCTGCACTGTATTACTTTGTGTCACCTCCCCTCTGGGTGGCAGCGGCTGGAGCATGGCGATGGGAACAGCGGCATTGGTGGTGGTGGCAGTGGGCTTTGTGCCACCTCCCTTCTTGGGTCGGTGGCCACGGTCAGGGCGGGGGCTGCAGGTGGGCACTCAGTCACTCCCAGGCCCACAGCCACAGGCTTGCCGCAGCCAGGAAGTGCCACAGGCAGAGGCTGTAGTGCAGCAGTGTGGGGATCAGTCAAGTCGCTGTGACATGCACTGCATTTCTTTGCACTGCCTCCCCTCCAGGTCAGTCAAGCTGCTGTGGCCTACACTGTCAGTCAAACTTCTGAGATTTCAATGGGTTAGTGTGGTTAGTATGCACCACCACTGTAGAGACTTGATTTCGGATAACCTATATGGTTTCAGCCAGGTCACGTGACTCATGCCTAGCTCACTCCACCAATCCCATTCAGAAAGGGAGTAATTGACTGAAGTTACTGCTGCCCCTTGTACTTGCCAGTCCTGCCCAGTCCCAGAATGTTGTCCACTGGAGCCCCCTTATTTATAGAATAGCTCCACTCCCATCACTCACCAGAGGTCGATGTAGGCACCATGCCAACTCAGCTCTCCCTTTGGCTCTCCCGCCCCCAAATTCAATGTTGAAGCAGCGGGACTTCAGCTCGGCAAGCCACAGTGGGACCTTGGCAAGCCACAGCAGGACCTTGGCAAGCCATCATGCGACCTTGGCAAGCTGCGGCAGGACCACATAGGGACCTTGGATAGTCAGCAAGTCGCCTTAATTTCTTCTTGGAATGAGAGAATTCATCTCCCTCTGTTTGGGTTTCCCCACTCTTTATTATGTTGAATTCTAAATTGACTATCTCAGAGAGCCTCTGTAGCCAGTTGTTATCTATCTGCCATCTTGCTCCTCTCCCCCTGGAAGGTGTTTTTGATTTTTGTTTTTGCTTTTGAAAAAAGTCATAATCATACTAATGGAAGTATGTGGAAGGAGCATAAAAGCAAAGACATCAGTTAGGAAACTGTCAGTAGGTTTAAGGTTATATTGTGTCTACTTCAAAACCAACATACGTAGGGAACTTTACCAGACACACCTCCATACTTAAGTTAATTTAGTAGTTTAAAAAAGATAAAAGTCTTCACACTCATGTTTTATTCATTAATAAAATTATGAATATTAGCCTTGGCCAGGAAGGTTTTCTCAAAGATATTCCCATTCTTGAAATGAAGGCTCAATCTGTGATTAAATAAGTGATGCTTGTGGTATACTTGCACTATAATTCATGTCTCTCTCAAAGACAGAGCAAACTGATACTATTCTCATTGGGGTCACTCAGCATCTCTTTAGTCTGTGGAATAACTGCCTAGGTATTAATTCTGTATTGGATCATACCAATTACTCTAATAATTCATCATTTGCCTAGATTTATATCCAGGCCATGATTAAGTTGAGTGTACATGATATGCTATTATTAATAAAAGACAGGAATAGAAAGTTTTTATACCACTTGGTCACTTGTTTTTCTGGAGCACTAGCTATATTTTGGAGAGCTTAGTTTAGTTAGAAAACTTTTCAACTAGACAAAGTCAGATTGGCACGGCTTTCTTAAAGTACTGGATGTTTAAAAGTGAGTCACAGTGACTTTTCTTTTTCCTTAAATGATCAAATATGGAAATTAGTCTTATGTTGTTTACTATCCTAATAGGATTTTGGTGACTAAATGTAGAGTTTCAAATTCTAGTCCTGTTTGCTGATCTATTCAGATCTCACCTAAGGAATCTGCTCTGAAAATGTTTATTTAATACTGATAGTGTTCTTTCCACTTACAAAAAAAGATAGTGAAATTTTGATTTATTCTTTTCTCCTATACACTAACTAGCCAATTAGCAATAAATTTTAATAATATTCTTTTTATATTACTAATTAGTTTTGCAACAAATTTCACCAGCAGACATACTTTTCTTTTGTGATATTTTTAGTTTTGAGAAAATAAAACCAAACAAAAAACAATAAAGACAATCAAAACAAAACAGTGAAAGCAACACAGGACATAAAAGCAAGACAATAGAAAATAAACAATGGCTGCCATAATAACTCTTATTATCTTCAAAATAACTGTCCATGCCATCTAATAAAATTAAATCAAACAAAACAGAGGAAAACTAATCAAAACAAAATAGTACAAGTGACACAGAATTCAAAACAAGGTAATAGGAAATCAACCGTGTCCATAATGCCTTCTATGATCTTCAAAAAGAAGGCACAAAATTATCGTGCAAAGATGCTCATATCATCAGATCTACTAAAATAAAATAAACCACAACAGAAACCAATAAAAACAATACAGTTAAAGTGGTACAGGACTTTAAAACAAGATAAAAAGAAATCCACAATTATCATAATATACTTTATCATCTTTAATACTGCTGCCCATGCTATTAGACATAATAAAATCAAACGAATATCTATTGTATATTTTAGATCCCACTAACTCCTGTAGTTTTTTTTATACTAGGGAGACAATGTGATGTTTACCTATGTGACTCCAAAGCATTTCACCCAAAAACATGCTCATAAGTTGCATCCATTTACCTATAAGGGTCTTGAGATTATCTTTGTAGCTGAGTAGCTTTCTATTGTATAAAAATGCCATATCTTTTTTATCCATTCTGCAGTTGATGGGGAAGTTACCCCTGCTGTTTTCTGGTTCATTATCACATGGACATTGTTTTCTCTCCTTTCACTTTCAGTCTATGAGTTTTCTTTCAAGTAATGTATTTCTTGTATACAGTACATTAGTGGATCTTGTTTCTTGATCCATTCCATCTGTTTCTTTTTATTAGTGAACTGAGGTCATCTAAATTAATGGTAATAACCAACTTGTAGTGGTTCATCTTTGCCATGCTTTTTTCCTGCCATTGGTTCCCTATTTTTCCTCTTTATTCAACTGCATGCCCCCCTTGGCAGTCCTACACTGCTGCTGTTCCTGGGATGAGGTCATTTCTATCTCTCTGTAGAATATCCTTTAGTACTCTTTATAGGGTTGGTTTAGTGGTCATGAAGTCCTTCAGCTGTTGTTTTTCACGGAGGTATCTTATTTCTCCTTTAATAAAAAGTCAGTTTTTCATGGTACATCAATCTGGGTTGGAAGTTGTTTTCATTTAGGGCTTGAAATACTTCACTCCAAGCTCTTCTTGACTTAGTGGTTTGTGTTGAGAAGTCTGTTGTGATTCTGATGAGTTTTCCTTTATAGGTGATCTGTTTCTTATCTATAACTGCATTTCGTAGTCCGTCTTGCTGAATTTCTGGGATCTTGAATATTATATGTCTGGGTGCAGATTTATTTTGGTTATGGCTAGTTGGATGCTTCACTTATCTGTACGTCAGGTCCTTTTTTCATGGTTGGGAATTTCTCCACTCTTACTTCTGTTAATAAGCTCTTTATGCCATTTGTGTTGACTCCTGCTTTTTCATTCACCTATCATTCTTAAATTATTTTTCTTTGTGTTGTCTTGCAGCCATTGAATTGTTATTTTTAAGAGATTTTTCTGTTATTTAAGAGATCTTTCTTTTCACAATCACTAGCTGCCAACATGTCATCAAAGTCTGAAAGTCTATCTTCAGTTTATTTCAAGTAGTTTTGCAATCTTTCAATGGAGTTTTTAATTTCTTGGATATCTCTGAGTCTGTCTCACACATTCCATTTCTTCTCTGTGTTGTTCATTTATGGTTTCCCTTGTTCTGCTATGCACTTTTTTTTAAAGCTATGTCTTCTTTAGATACACTGAGCAACCCTTTTATTATGTTTGCATATCTTCTTTTACCTGAGATATTACTTCTGATCTGATTTCTTTTATAGCATCATAAAGTAGATTCTTTACTTCAGTTGCCATTACCCAAGAAATTTCAGGTGTGAAGTTCTGCTCTCTCCCATGCCCATGTCTCCTGGGCTTGTTCTGTTTGGATTGGAGGCCAGAGATTGCCTTTTGCTCCTTCATCTTGACATTTTCCAAGGTTCATCCTCTGGATGAGTGGGTTGTGGGGTCCCAGGCACTTTCCATGTTGGCTCCCCTTCCATGGTGTATGAGGATGGGTCAGGTATATAGATTTCTCCTAACCCAGGTTCCCCAGGAGGCAATGGGTTATAGGGTGGGCTTTTCCAGACACTTGAGGTTTCTTCAAAGCATGGCTTGCTGGTTCTTCTGGCTTGCACTGGCTATGTGGGAGAGTTCTGATGGTGGCCTCCCTGGATTGGGGGGCTTGGCTGCCTGCTTCTCCCTCCCTGCACTGGCTACCTGCCACTGGATGTACTTTTCAAGAAAACTTTCCAGGAAATATTTTAAAATATATTCTAATATTTAAAAAGAGTCTACGAGAGGATTTAAAAAAATGAGTCAAGATTTATCATATTTAGGTACAAAATCCTTATGACAAATGTGATCATTATGTATATCCAGATTGTACCATTAAACAATAAAAATAAATAAGTAATGCAAAAACATAAAAAAAGAAGAGGCTATGTTTTAAATGCAATACTTACCTCTCTGGGAAGGATATGTGGTCTGCTATGGAATGCTAAAACTACTTTGTTGCTCTGAGTTCTCTTCTGCACACAGATCTTATTAGTTTCAAACTTCTGAATAAAAAGTTAGTTCCCTACATTATCTCTTCTAAGGTTTTAAAAATAATTAGAAATGTTTAGCTAATTCTTCTGGACACAATAAAAGAACTAGCTCTGACAATGAGGCACTGGTATTACTGAAAAGATCAAGATGAAATATGGAACCAGGTAAATAAAAATCAATGACAGTACAAACTGAGGACAAGAGAAATGCACACTCACTATCCTTTATCAAGGTATTTTATGTCCTTATGTACCTGCCCATCACTTTGCCCTAGAACTGTTCAGGCCATATGCTTGAGCAGAACAGTATGCATGGGCTCCTTTTTTGCCCATTTGGCAAAGAGTCTGGAAGTTAGATGAAATTTGAGTCAATACCCTATTCTCTGACATGATGATTGCTCTATAAAAATATCAACTTTCGTATATTTTCACTATTCTAGATGGTGGGAAAACAAGGAAACTAACAAACAAGGAGAAAATCCAGTTATCAGAATAGCATGTGAGGGGAAAGGCAATGAGTGCCCTATAAATATTGAAGTAAGAATTTCCCTCTGTGACTTGCCAGCAGAAATGATCTGGGTGAACCCTGCCACTGGCAATAAATGCCGTTGAGAACAATCAGGCAAATGTGAAAAGTTTTGATCAAAGCTTGCAGAACTCTGGGCAAATGCTTTGCACTTAAGTCAAATCAACCCAGAAATCCTATTCTTTAAGTCTTCATAGACTGCTTACTGCTGTCAGAGCAGATGCCAAAGTAATCTACTGTTCTAAGACACATGTGCTGTGTACACACACAAAAGCAGACACATACACACATTCACACCCCTCTTTCACAAGGCTCTAAACAGAAATGCCTAGTGACCTTTCAAACATCAAGATATAAAAATGCTTCATGCTTACTTTAGGTGTGAAATTCAGCTGCTTGACTTCTGATAGAAACTATTATCATGGTCAAAAGTCTGTTTTTACTCCTGGTTTAAATTAGAGGTCACTTGCACATATGTATGACAATTTGAATATCCTAAATTGAATACAACTTTTTTTCTAGAAGGTATGTGCTCCTGTCCAGTAAAATAGTAAGTCATAGCTCCATTTCTGTTCTCAGTGTCAGTCCTCTGAGATATATGCATCAGGCTAGCTGGATTACAAATTTGGATTTACATCAGCTTCTGAGATGACTATAGCCTGAATGTGTAGTTTTGTCATTTTTTGCCAAATCTGGCAAAGAATACTTATTGGGCCCTGGAGTTTGCTAGTACAGATGAGACTGGGAAATATGGTATATTGATGATTTTGATAGTTTTATTTTGTTTTGTTTTTTGCTTTGTCTAGGTCACCAGCTATGGCCGATGTGACAGAACTGGATATTGTGTCTTCATAAAATCCTCAGTTTCACTAAATGTAAATTATTGTCCTGTCACCATAAGCATCTGGTTATCGCAGCTGTTTTGTAGATATTCCAGGGAATTAAGAAATTTGATTAATTTTTTTCTCTGGTTTCTGTGAACAATATTGAATTCTGTGTTTTAACACTTCCTTGTGGGAAAACAAAAAATTCTCTGTGACTGACGGTATGGACTTATCCATTTACATAAATCAATCCTGGGTGGAGATACCAGAGACGCTGGGCAATTACTTTCTATAGATGCTGCAGTCATTCGGTAACCTAAATTAGTCTGATTGAGGTCTCTTTGCTGTTGTGTCTAGGAATTTGCAGATAAAGTTTAAAGAGCATTTTAAGTCCAAGAAATTTTAGGTGATTTTTGCATATGCCACCCTAAGTAGTTCACTTTTGAAGATTTGATAACTCTGAGTTTAAAGGAAATTCACATCTTTTTTATACCATGTTATTTGTCTCATCTCTTGGAGAAAACTGAAGGCCAAAGTTTTATATTATTCAGTTTATTTTATTTCATTATATCTCTTTCTTCTTATCTTTCCTGCTTTTTTTCCTGACAGTTCTTCCACATGAGAAATACAGATTAGTAGGAAACTGTTTTAGAACAGTGGAGCTTCATGAAATTAAGTCAATGACAAATCTCAAAAGTAAAAGGAAAACCTGGACTCGTGATGTGCAATTCATTGGTTATAAATAATTCCAAGGATTGAACTCAGTTATTCAAGAAATAGTTAAGGGTTTCCCGGCCACCGCCTCTCCTGCCACCTGTGGAGCCAGAAACAGAGTCACTGACACTGTGGTGGCCGACATCAAAGCTTTGATTAGTGTGTCCTTTGGAGGAGCAATCGGCCTGACGTTCCTGATGCTTGGATGTGTCTTTCTGATGTTTTGTTTTGTTTTGTTTTGTTTTGTAGTTCTGTATTGCGTGTACCCTTACGCCGCTTTGGTTTGTTTTGTGTTTTTCTCTTTTTCCTCTTAAATAAAAAAAAAAAAAAAAAAAAAAAAGAGACTTTCCTAGAAATAAAAAAAAAGAACCAGTCCTGGCCCCTCTTTGTGCTGGTTTTGTTTTTTTAATGTTCTTTCACCTATTCCTTACTGCATAGGAAGCAGATTAGTGGACAATGCAGATGCTATGAGTAAGGCTTGTGAGGAGTTTGCCACATTCCTCACAGCAGGCATTGCTGTCTCAGCCTCGGACTCCCCACTGTAGATGCCAGAGCGCATCTGATGGGGAGCTTGAGCGCTTGTTTTCGCGGGAGACACCGTTATCTTCGCAAGATACCAGGCTTTTCCTTGGTCTTTGGAAGCAATGATGATTTCAGCTGGCATCAGTGGTGAAAGGAAATTACTGAACCACTGTCAAATGGACTTCTTGTCATCTGTTGCATACTGTGCATCCTTGCATACAGGAGATGGGACAGTAATGACTCATGATGTCGCAAGCCCCTTGGGGGTATCCTAGGTTCTCCCTTCTCACTTTTATTGTATGCATTTTATTTCCCACAGGGGCTTGCTGAAGGATTAAACAGATTTTCTGTCTTGCAAAAGCTTGACTGACTTTACACATATCTATAGTATGGTTTTTGTGGTGTCCTGTTGGATTTAAATATTTATATGTTTTCCTTGTTCAGCTTTTTAAAAAAATCCATATGCAATGTTAAATGTTTTTTTAAATGTGATAACCATTTGTACTACTTAGCAATTCAGAATCTTGGCTATATTACTGGGATAAAGTATCTTTTTCTTAGTTAATCCTCATTATTTTAAAAAAATATAAAGTTAAGTTTTCAGGATAATATTACTCCCACTTTTATGCAAACATGCGGATGGTTTGGTGTAGCTTATACACTATCTACTCAGCGCAAATATAGCTGTATTTACACCTCAGAGGGGCCAGCTTTTAACGCACATGCCCTCTTTGAGGGTTTCTGGTTTTCCTAGAAGACAGATGTTCTGTGAATTGAAAATTATTTTGTGCAATTGTTATAAAGGAATACTTTTCTTCTCAATTGTTAGAAGAATTTATGTTAAACTTCAAGGATATAAGAACAGATTTTTGAGGTACCATTATTTATGTTTATTATAGTCAAAGTAGAATGAGTTGCAATGTGGGGAAAAAACGTTGGAATTCCATTGTTTGAATGCTTTTTCTACTTAAAAGTGAATTTTTTGATTGGCTTTTTGTGCTTTATCTTGAGTAAAATGGACATACAAGGAACTACGGATGAGGAGAAGCGGTAAGTCTGCATCATATATACCAGAAAACCTTCCTCTTTATCTTATTTGGTACATTGTATATACTAAGTAAAAGAACTTTTCAAATACAGTTTAATAATCTTAGAAACTCATCTAGAAAATAACTGCTATCCAGTATATTACGTGCCCCTGTCTTGAAGACTTTGCATGATTAACAAGTGACTTGTTAGTCATGCAAATAATCTGTGCATTAACAATGTAAGATTTATACCATAGTAAGGGTAGTTATTATTCTCAGGTTATATCATGTAATCTTAAAATATTTAAGACATATTTCCTATATTTGTTTGATTCCATAATAATAGATCTGTTATCTCCTTATGAAAGATATTTATCATGTGAATTAATACAGAGTAGCCAAATCTAGCTGTGTAGCAGCTTCAGGCACAGACTTGACCAAAAAATTCCTAGTAACCAGGCATGATCAAAATTTAGTGGTCACATGCTGGGGATTTAGCTCAGCGATTCTAGCACTTGTGAGGTTGTGAGTTTAATCCTCAGTGCCAAAAAAAAAAAAAAAAAAAAAAAAAAAGTAGTGATCATTTGCATCTCAGATTACCAGTACCTTTTTTAGGAGCTGGTTATGAAAATTTTCAGGTTGATTTGACAGTATTTTGTTAAGGATAATTGTAAGTCTCTTCAGTATATTTACATAAAAATTGTATTATCTTTAGTCAAAAAATATTTCAGCAAGTTTAGTAAGGATAGAAAGTGTTAAAAAAAAAGTGAAACCACTAATTTATTTGCCACAAATGTGTAATGACTGCCTGCAAGAACTCTTTTGGGTACATTAAGACTCCTATACACAAACAGCTGCTGCTCCACCTCCACGCTTGCTAGAATGTGGTAGTTGATTTCAAGCAACTAATGGGCTGAGGAGACAAGACATACACACACAGTTTCATGAAATTCATGGTGCAAGCACTGCATGAGCTCACAGAAGCTATAGAGAACAGCAGAGGTGCCACTGATTCCATCAGACCAGACCTCCACTTGCACTGGAGCTTTCACACATTGAAACTGGAAGTAGAAACTTCCTACTGGAATCCGGTTAGCCTGTGTTGTTTTACCCCTCAGGATATATGTGAAGAATTACAAGAAAAGTCTTTTTGAGAAAGATTTACAGCTGAGTATTGTGATGAACGCCTGCAATCCCAGCACTCAGGAGGCTGAGGCAGGAGGATCATCTTGAATTTGAGGCCAGTTTGTCTACAAAGGAAGCTCAAGGTCAGCTTGCACCACAAAGCAAGACTGTTTCAAAAACAAAAACGAACAAACAAAACAGTAAAAAAGCATTGCAATCTCCTTTAGTTCCAAAAATGTCAGTGGATGTAGTAGAAAATAAATCACTAGGATGAGGAAAAGCAAGGTAATTAAAAACATTCCTGATGTAATTAGCAGGGTAGCCCTTCAGCCCTGAGTTTTGAAGTCTGGGAGAAAAGGAAGAAAATGTATTAATACCAAGTACTATGTTTGAGCAGGTCCAGTGTATTGAAAAATGCTTAATTATATTTCATCTAATTATTTGCCTTAGGAGAAAATTCTGGAATTTGCTTTCAAGTTAGACAAAATTTAAAAAGTTGTCCCTTTTACCAAAAGAGACAGAAAAATAATTGCCCATCATATAAGAAAAACTTGGATAAGATCATGAAACTGAATAATTAAAATGAGTGCATAAAAAGAAGCATTTCTAGAATAATGAGTGATTAGAAGCAGATATTTTGCAGGACTTTTCGAAAGAACACATTTTAGAGAAGAAATTACTAAGTAATCAAAGTTAAAAGGTGCTTTAAGTCCTGGGGATTTAGCTCTGTGGCACAAACACCTGCCTGGCAAGTTCAAGATCATGAGTTCGAACTCCAGTACCACAAAACAAAACAAAACAAAAACAATTTTGATTTATTCTAGTTAGAAACTGAGAAAAATCTGCAGATATTTCTTTAAACCCTAACTAATAAGCAAGGCCAACCCTAGTGAGGTCAAGTTGGCCAAAATTAGAAGGAAAGAAAGATCTGTCAAACTTGATCACATAGTAAAAATGCTAACATTATTATAATGATCATGATTATTACCACTGCTGGTGCTACAGACAGATACTTAAGCACTTATGAGCTATCCATATCTAAACATTTTACATGCATTAATTGTTTAAAAAGAGGAAGAGGCTATAAACGAGAGGAGAGAGACTAATGTAACCCAACTTTGTAATTAAGTCATTGAGTAGAGTATTTAATACCTAGTAAGCACTTCATAAATGTTCTTAAATGAAACTATAGAATAATCCAGGCTAGATTAAAGTTTGATTTATGCTGCCTGAAGGTCCTCACCAGAGCTTTAGTAAGAAAGAATGGTATAATGTTATTAGAATATTATGAGTAATATTCTTAGATATGGTCTATAATATATATGTAATTCTTCTCTTTTTTGTACTAGGAAGTAAACTCCCAACTTCATTCTTTCCAGGCAAGTACTGAATGCTGAGCTATATCCCCTATAATTCTTCTTAGGGATAACTTACCTGTATAGAAAATAGCACATTGCTTTTTTCTCTATATATGAATTTTAGAATAAAAATATTTTGTGTGTATTCATTTCAAATTAAGAATTTATTGACATTTTTGTGAAAATGCTTTGTGTCAACTTAATTTATTGAGATATTTTGTGTGAATTGACAACTTTAATTTTAAAATGGTAACAGAGTGTACAGCTAAATTTTTAATAGATGCCAGCTCATTTTGACATTGCCAGACATGGTTTTCATTTTCTGGCAGCAGGACATAAAGAACACCTTCTTTTGAGGGACTTCACTTTCTTCAGGGCAAATATATAGACAGGGTCTGCCCTACTTTCCCGTTTTATTTGCTCCTCGTTGGAGCAGATGTGAGCTGTTGAAGACTGATGTTTCAGACTGAAAAATGCTGCTGCATGGCTACCCCGCTGGCTAAGTTTCTTCCTAAGCTTCAGTGGCTCTTCCGGGTAGATGAGCTGTTATAGCAGTGTGTCTTATAGCAGTGTGTCCAAATGTGTTCCTTGCTTCACTTGCAAAGCTTATGTAACTCCTGGCTGTATCAGTTACCTGGAAGGCTGGATATGTTGTATTCCTCTCCTCCTGAGGAATACAAAGAAGTCACATAGTTCTTTTTTCACATGCTGCAAATACAATAGTATTGTTTACTCTTACATTGGAAGAACTCATGGACACTTGGGGAAAGAGTTAGACATATATTTTCCTTTTCAATAGAGGTTATTATTAGAGAAATTTCCAAATGATTACTTACTTTTGACTAAACAATGTGGCTGTAAATTTCAAAGTGCTAATGGAAACTAAAATATAATGCAAAACATTTTTAATGAAAAATATTAAGCAATTTAACCCGTATGGACTACTGTGGTGGTTAAGCAATTTGACTATCTTGGAAGCTGCCCAGAGGTCAGTGAAGCACACTTGGGTTCTCTGGTTGGGTTAGGGAGGCATAGCTTTGATACTATACATGGCTCCTGGCCCCTTCCTAATTTGTACTCTTCCTCCCCTGCTCTGCTTCCTGCTGCTTTGAACTACTTATCTTCTGTTCCACCACACTGCCCTGCCATGTTGTTTCTGCCTTAGAACCAGCCAACCATGGGCTGATTCCCCTGAAACTGTGTGTGAGCCAAATTAAACGTCTCCTCAGTTTGCGGGACTTGGATATTGTATATCAGCAACAAAAAAGCTAATACTTCCTTTGGAATGGACTTAGTTGTAGTAGCATTCATAGAAGACATGTCATAGGGACAGATATATT